AAGGCAGTTGGGGCAGAACCCCACCTTTGTCCAGCTTGCTGTAGATGTGCTGGGGCAGCTGAGGGCTGGACTCCACGTTGGGGGGGTAAACGTAGAGCGCCTGGCTGTGGGCCCCGCCCCCCTCCCTCTCCTCCATAGCCTCTCTGCACACACTCAGTATCGAGCGCCGGAAGTCCTGGATCTCTGGGTCCTTCATCATCTCAAACTCGCACACTGGCATCCCGATGGCGAACCCTGTAGGAGGGCAGCATTAGTTTGGAAGAGGGGTGGAGGTCTTTAGTGTTTAGTGGTCTTTAGTAGGTCACGTTGTGAGGGCGTGTCTCACCGATCTCCCGGTTCAGGATCTTCTCCTCCCGGTTGCCCAGCGGCTCGATGACCTTCAGGATCGGGTGGAATAGTCGCAGGTCACACAGGCGCCTGGTCTCATCGTAAAACTCCTCCCTCTCTGCCTCCTGGGTCACGCCCACAAAGATGTAGCATGACTCCTCCTGGCCAATCAGAGATCAGAGATTAATGCTGCAGGCAGTGATGGGGGGAGGAGACAGGGTCAAAGGTGAGGTTGGACTACCTGCAGCAGGTGGTACAGAGGATACTTCCTGGCCTCAGTGAAGAGCTGCTGCTTGATGCTGATGAGAGGAGTTTCTCTGAGACACTCGAGACTCACCATCATCCCTGGAACACAATAGAAACACAATAGAAACACAATAGAATAAAAACACAATAGAATAGAATAGAATAGAATAGAATAGAATAGAATAGTACCATTGGGTAGGCAGCAGTCCACCAGAATCCGAGGAGGCATTAGATGGAGACCCCATAATTCCCCTGAGGACGGCCTGGGCGCCATGGTAACCACCAATCACAAGCTGCCTCACCTCAGCACTGGCTACCTGGACAGGTGAGACAGACAGACCAGAATGTTGGTGGAACCACAGCAGCCTGTTTCTTTGATGCATCAATCCCAGTAAAACCAGTAACTTACAGCTAGTCTGTCCATTTTACAAGTTTTATGTGTCCTCAATGTTCAGTTCAATTCAATTCAATTTTATTTGTGTCGTGTAACANAGACAGACAGACAGGTACAGAGGCTTACCTGGGGTTAGAGCAGGGGACTCTTTGTGTGTTGACATTGTCACAAAGCGGCTCTCCTCCATGATAGATGCCCGTCCTCACATAGATCTAAACACAGACACACATCAGGTGTTTCCACTTCAACACACACAGCTAACACAATACATCCACAAAGGGACACAAAACAGACAGACAGACGGACAGACAGACAGACAGACAGACAGACAGACCTTGTCGATGTCCCGGATGTTGACGTTGACGTAGGTCGCACACAGCAGCCGAACCCTCAGCAGAGTGTTAAAGGCCCACAGAGACCGAGGAGGACTTCCGTCTCCTCCTCCTGGACAGGGAGAAGGCTGAGGAGTCCGTCGGCTGAAACACAAAAACCACACCTCACACCTGAGCAGCTTCCTCTTTGGCCGACACACCTGTCACTTATAGCGGCTGCTGTCATACCTGTATGATGGTGTGACGAAGCCAGAGGCTGGAAGCTGAGAGTACAGACTGTCTTTGGACACGAGCATCAGGTGAGGAAGACGTCCAACGATGATACAGGAGCGGATGTACTGCAGGGAGACAGATGGACAGACAGGTGAGGCAGAGAGACAGTGGGTTGCTGTAGATCTGTGTTTCAGATTGAGTTTCTTACCTTGTACTGACTGAGAGGAAACTTCTCCAACAGGTATTCATCACAGCCACACACCTAAGAGTCAGACAGAGACACAGATGAAACAGACAGACAGACAGACAGACAAGTGTACCTTCAGGATGTATTGGCCCTGGTACTCCTGGACAAAGACAGACAGGTGGACAGACATGTGGACAGGTACACAGACAGAAAGGTATACAGGCAGACAGGCGAACAGACGGGTATACAGACAGGCAGAGAGACAGACAGGTATAGCGGTATACAGACAGACAGGTGTACCTTCAGGATGTACTGGCCCTGGTACTCCTGGACACAGAGGCGGAGCTGCTGAGGTGAAAGATGCATCGACCGGCTCTTCTTCCTGATAGACTCAGCAATCAGTTGCTCAGGTAAACTGTCATGACTCACCTGCACACAAACACAGGTGATAAAGATGTGTTTGTTCTCCACAGTAAGAAGAACCTGTTTGCAAAACAAGAACGGGACTCTGTCATCCTACAGAACAGGACATGAAAGCAGCTTTACCTTCAGAGTGTATTTCTGTTTGGAGTTTGACGGAGACACGATCACCCAGATGGTCACGATTAGCCTTCCTGCAGACAGCCAAAGAGAAAGGCAGGAGCAGAGAGTGAGACAGGTT